CTGTTCCACCTATCGCCCTTGCTTGCCATCCTGCCAGGAGGGGGGGAAAATGTCACTCCCATGGATAATCCTAAACTTTCTTCTGTTATGGAAGAGAATTTTAGGCATTGAAAATAGAGAAAGAGCATTAAAAGGGAAGATTCTATTCCTCAAACTACAGAGTCCCTCCCCCCCACCCCCACTTTGCCAGGCCCACAGGAATCACTCAGTCCAGGCAGTCTGGTCACTCCCCACCTGTCACCAGAGCTGCCAAGAGGCAGTTCCTGAACAGCACCATTATGGGAAAGAGCTGCCTGGGCACCAGTTCCGGAAACCTGGATTCTGGTTCAGCCTCAGATTCTGGCTAAATAGCGTTTTTCTTAGGTCTGAGACATTACTGATTTTTAATTTCCCCCATTATTCCAAATTTATTTTGGTGGGGGCTAATCATACTTCATTAAATGATCACATGTGTTAGATGATGTTTCCGGTTTCAGAACACCATAAATGCGATAGCTTTTTGACTGTCTTTGACTTGAGATCTCATCTGTAGGGAGGAGGCCAACGAGGCCATCATGAGGGGGCTCTTCTCTTATCGGTAAGAACAGAGCGACCGAAATCCTAGGAATTACTGTGGTGATGATTCCTCAACAAGCAAGGTACCCAGCTGCCTGGGAGGGGCCTGGAGGGCCGAGTGGGATTCTCTTAACCCTTTTCACCTTGCGGTGTGCGCCCAGGAACCTGCCAGCTGGCCTCATACCTGGAATACAGTCATGATGGCTGCAGGGAAAGTGTCAAAGTTTGCCGAAGGAGTCCCATCATTAAAGTTAAACCTGAGAAGGAAATCCAGAGAGAATGGAATGAAAATGCTTACACAACAAGGTTTCCCTTCCCGAGATTGTCATTTTCATCACTTCTTTCCCCTTTCTCCACGTCCCCCTCTTTCCTACATTCCCCGCACTCCATGTCCCTAGTAAAGATGGTATTAGAGACTATGGCTGAAGCACTGCGCTCTGTGAAGGGTGTGTCTTTGAAGGGCACGGGATCTGAGGTGGAGTTTGGGCAGATCCCGAGGTTCAGGGCCCTGGGCTGTACATTTCAGAGAGAACTCCAGAGGAAGGGTCCCTGAAGCAAGAACCCTGTACAATGTGAAAAGGTTACAAGCAGAGACGCCTGTTCCACAACACGCACAGTGGTTGATTTGGGCCATGGACAGGAGCAAACAAGATGGGAACATGGTGATTGAATGAGTGACCCCGGCGCCCCCAGGCTGACGTTTTAAGGCTCCGTTGGATGGAAAGCTAGTTGGTGCTTACCTGCCTCCAAACAGCTGCATTCCTAGGAGAGCAAAGACAACGATGAAGAGGAAGAGGAGGAAAAGCAAACTGATGATAGACTTCATGGAACTCATCAAGGAGACCACCAAATTCCGTAGGGATGCCCAGTACCTACAAAATGCAGACGACATGACAGCGGTGAGCAGTGAATACCACGTTATCCCCAAGTCAGCTGGACATCTGCCTGGTGGTCTATGAATGAACTGCATTTTTAATCCTTGTAGGAAGGAGAGATGGTAGCAACAGTGTGGCTCCCCTGGGAATGTGGCATGGGACTTGGCATCGTATATGTTTCTTCTGGTTTGATCTTTGGAGGAGGAGGAGGAGGAGCTGAAGAATGGAGTGAGGGGATGAGATATGGAAGGGGAACATCTGGTAAGGGAGATGAGGAATGGGAGGACATATAATAAGGCAGAGAGAAGCTTCCACTCTCCAAGGTGGTTGGGAAGCGTCCAGATTCTGATCACTTACTTGGTTATTTTAAATATTCTTAGAAGCCGGAGAGCTCGCAAGACACTGATTCCAAAAGATGTTCCAGGTCTGAAGATGGCCCAGACCACTTCAAAGATACTGCCCACCGTGACCTAAAGAAGCAAACCCAGCCACAGTACCAGGAGGAGGAAGAGAGGAGAGGAACATTCTGGTAGTCGGCAATCAACAGTACTCATTGGGCTGTGGTGAAATTAAAACTCTCCCCTCCCCACCCAGCCTGCCTCTAACAGGTCTATCTATTTCCAAAGGTCACTTCTTCCCTCTGCTCTCCACCCCGCTTGCTAACTTTAATCCTGCAGACTGTGGGCTGGTTTACTGACTGCTGTTGTCCTTGGTGAAAACTACAAGTGATCAATTCTGCACAAAATTGACAGCCCTACCTGTCTTACATTGTAACACTTTGAGCAGACAGACAAAAGAGTCGTCCTCAAAGCAAGGAACCAAACTTGAAGTAATACAGGTTGCATTCCAATATAAAAATCTCAGGGAGGGCCCACATTCCCTCATTGTTCTAGAATGTAGTGCTCACAAGAACGGTTTAGTCATGTGTAGAATATCTGTCAGTCCCTCAGGCCCCACACAGCCTAATGTGAAGGTGCTACTGCTACTGGGTGCAGAGAATCTGACTGCTGTAGGAAGCAGCAATGTCAAATTAAAAACTGAACTTGTTTTTTGTTTTAATTATGCACCTAGTGATTGTCCACTATATAGTCTCTACATCGCATGAGGAGAAATAACCGATAAATTCATCCTCACAGCAATTCTGAAAATATGTAGATAAAGAAACCAAGATTATAATGGTCTTTCACTGGCTGGGATGCCTGAAAACTGCCCGTACCCAGAAACATATGTTCCATGTTAAAATGCAGATTGGCAAGTGCTCAAAATCCTTAGCATGAAACTGAAAATTTGGCAGAAAAAAAAGTAGGTTTGGCAGAAAGAGAAGTGGCTCAGGAACCCAAAGTTTTGGGACCCAGCACTGCTGCTAACGGGCGATGTGAACTGGGGACATGTGTCCTATGGGAATGGGCAGGCTAACTCCTGACACGCAATCTAGTGGATAGGGCTCCTGAAAGCCATGGAGGACCACAGTGTATGTAAAAGCACCTGAATCCTGTTAGGAACGTGCACAGTTATATATCCATATTATCTAGCAAGTGGACAGTGGACGACATTTCTAACTTGTGTGTGTGTGCACGCATCCATGTGCATGTCTGTATGAGGGTATATTTAGATAATTTTCCCAACTGCAACTGAACCCAAATATATAAGCTCATCTTTTTTATTGAACTACCTTTTGGAATCAAGTTTTTTTGTCTCCTCTCTCAGGCATTCCCCAGGATACTAAGTGATTTAAAACTCTAGCTTCGTCAGATTCACTGAGCTGTACACTTAAGGGTGCCCTCTATGGTGTGTGTTACACTGCCATGAAAACATTAAAAATAAAGCTTAAAACCAACCAACCAACCAACCTAGTGTGGCAAGGATTCACTCACTCCTGCCCCCGTTAGCTAACCTTATCTGGTCCCCTGGTATAATTTCTGATTTCAGTGCTTCATGCTGGGCAAGAGAGGAGCTGCTTGTCCCACCCGTGGCTTATCGGCAGGAGGGCTCCCGAGCACTTACCCCAAAATCAAAGCAGTTGAAGGAAGAGTGGAAATAAAGGCGAGGCCCCATGCCGTACATCTTCAGGGACATCTCCAAGAGGAAGAGTCCCAGAAACAGAAATTCTGCATAGTCTGAAAGCATCAAAAGCAGGAGCATTTGTTCCCCAGATGGCGGGCTCCCACACCCCCAAACCCAAAAACTGCAGAGGTGCCCTCCACACGAGCAGGACCCACACATGTGAGGAGGGTCATGACCAGGGCAGGTCAGTACCAGGCAACACCCAATGATGTCAGAATTCGCTCTCACCCAGCAGCAGCCCCAGGTGCTCCCCAGGTTGGCTTTGCTCTCCATCAACAGGTGGGTTTGCCACTGCCCTTTAAATGGTAGGTGGCTCCCCGGAAAGACGGGGCTTTACCATGGCTTCGATGTGAGAGCCAGAAGGGTCCCCCACACGCCCAGTCGTGGCAGCCTCCTGGGGCCCCACTCATACACAGTGGCAGCCTTACCCAGAGGTGACTAACCCTTACGTCCCCTTTGTGGTCTATTCGGGGTACCCATTGCCCTAAGAGCTTCCTCCCTACACCACTGATCCTCTTTAAAATACTAAGTGAAGGCCTTACAGCACCCGGATTGCAATGCCATCTGTTGACTCCTCAGCAAAGACTTGTTTATCTGATTCAATAAAGAATGACAGATTGGAATGGTCCCTTGGAGACAGCCCTGGCCTCCCTCACAATGTGAAGGGGGAGAACTCTGGGCGGACAGAAGCACTGCCAGGCCCGGCACGATCCTGGCTCTCTGACACTTGCACCTGGAGAGCCCGCAGTCACGGGTCACTCACAGAGGAAGTGGGTGAGCCACTGGGGCTGGTTGTGATGGACGATGGCCACGCAGGCGGTGTTGAGAGCCACCAGGCTCAGCACAATCCAGTAAAACACCTGGGATTTCACCATGTGGCGGACAGAGATGCGCAGAAGCCTCTCCTTGTGCCGGAAATAGGAGGCCCCGTCCACCTTTGCGCTTTTGATGCTGGCTCGGGCGAGGGGTGTGCCTGTGGGGGAGAAGCAGGGAGGGAGAATGAGGCTGCGAAAACGATCACCCTCTGTGGCGAGGGGGACAGTGTCGCTCCCCCAGCTGGGTGGCCACCATGCTGTGGGCCTGGGGCTACCCGTGATAAGGAGTCTCCACAGTAGAGATCCCTGCTTTTCCTCTGGGCACGCTCAGTCCCAGAAAGGATTCCCTGGGTAGGAGGACACAAGGCATATATACCTGGTATCTTAAAGCGAATCAGATTATGTTTAGGTTTGGGCTTCTCTCTGGCCCTTCCTTTTCAATATACTTCGGGGGCTGGAATCATTCTGCTGCCTCTGATCTTTCTGCCACGGGCAGCCGAACGCAGCAGTGAGCTCTGTACGCCTCTTCTGCTTTTAAGAATGAAGACCCCTCCCTTTTTCTTGAGGAGGAAATATCTGCCATCTGCCAGCATTTCTAAGAGAACCTGGGACTGAACACGTCATGCTGTAGGGTTCTCAGTAGGAATTTGTTTAAATATCACATGGACGATGGGACGGCAGGTGGTGGGTGCTACTGCGGTTAAGCAGGTTCTCAAATGGGGGTTACTAGGAGCAACAGGCCCTCAGCTCCTTGGAACGTATCTGAGTGGGTTTTCATTATCCCGCAGGAGAGACCGGCTGACGGACACATGGGCACACGTGAAGAATCTGGGCTGGATTTTTCTAAGCCCATGTTTCATGTGAACACGGTCCCCACGTCCATTTTTTTTCTAAGTCATTGTAGATTAGATTCCCACACCTTCTCTAATCACATCCCTGGGTTCTGGATTCTTTGGGTTCCCTTCCTCCTCGTGGTGCTTCTCAAAACACAGGCTCTTTGTTTTGATGGGAGATTCAGAGAGGGGAAGACCTAACTGGTCCCACTCACCCACGGAGGAGATATCCACACAGTGCTCGTCGCTGGAGTCTCGAGTCATGACCTCCGTGCGGCTGCGTTTGATGGTGGCCCTTCGAAGCACTGCGCCAGGACAGGGGAGGCAGGTGAGGACACGCACAACAGGGTCATTCTGCTCAAAACTGAGGATTGTGGGCCAGAGGCCTCTGGGACCCAGGCGACTGCCCTTAAACAGCTGAGCCAGGGTCACAGAAGTTGCAAACGTCTATAGAGACAAGACTCCGTGCTCAGAGGCACCTATCTGCACTGGCTTCTCATCAGCGAGGCACTTCCTGGGAATGAAAGTGGTCCCAAGAGGATCTCCACTGATGTTCAAAGAAGATCCCTTATATGCCATGGATTGCATGATGGGCTTTTTATTGCACATTGTCAACAACACACCCCGGAACCAAGGAACTCTTGGATTTGGCTTTCATCGAGTTAAAAAGCATTTAAAAATTTGTGACTCAATTCCCTTTCTTTTAAAGCATGAAGGATTTTATGACAGACTTTGGTTTCAAATCCCAGAGCGCCCCTCTTTTATTTCTCTCTTCTCTTTGGATCAAGAGAGACCACCACGCATAAGAGGGGGCGATGCCAGTGGAGTGAGGAGTTGGTTGGAGCCTTACCTTCCAAGGCTGACGTGCCAGCATTTTTATTTTCTTCAGCAAGCATGACTTCCTCTACATGGAAACAAATGGTTTAGTCAATTATCTGTAAATGGCAAATTATCTTGCAAAATGAAAATCCCTCAGGGAGGGCTTGGGCTCCAGGGCAACAGAGACGGAACAAAGGGTTCACAGTCCGTCACAGGCACCAGCAAGAGAAAGCCGCCAAGGTCAGGGAGAGAGCTCCCCAGACACATCAGAACAGAGGGGCATTCTGGGTGCGCAGGCGCTTGGGGAAGATGGTAAAATCCAGCTCTGTATCTGACACACCCCTTCAGGAGGATGCTCATGAGGGGCAGAGCTGACCTTTTTAACTAAAACCCCCTTAAATTGAGAGGAATGAGAACTTCCGTTTCTGGGTTTTCTTCTGCTCAGGTTCTTGTCTTTCCTAACCCCTTAAGCCTTCTCCAGCAACGGGAGCTTCCTTAGTTTCTCTTGTCTGCAACTTCACATCTACCGGCTCATTCAGGAGGCGAGGCCACACTTTGGGCGTTGGCCTGTCTACTTCGTGAGAAGCAGCACTCAGGGAGAGGAGCAGGGCTGGAGGGCTGGCTTCCTCCCACCCCACCACCCACCACTCCATCCTGCCTTCCTTGGGCAGAGCTTGAGCTGACCATGCTTGGGCCCATCATGAATGTGTCCCTGTGATACTGGATTTTGTTCACGATCTATTCCTGACACAGAACTCTTAAAACCCTTGGAATTTACTGTCTTCTGTACACTAATGAGATGACTCATTGTGGGGGAGGCCTAGTCACCAGAATGGGGGCTGGTAACTAGAAAAACCAACCCCAGGATTAGAGGGTTATAACTTACAGCCCTATCCCTCTCCCACCTCCTGGGAAGGGAGAGGGGCTAGAGATTATTGAATACCAATGGCTGATGCATTAGTCAGTCATGCCAATGGGATGGAACCTTCATAAAACCTACACATCAGGGAGCTCCTGGGCTGGTGGCCACGCCAAGATCCTGAGAGGATGGCATGTCTGGAGAGAGGACGGCAGCGCTATGCACCCCCAACCTCTGCCCCTCACCTTGGTCTGTATGTTTCTTCATTTGGGCTGTTCCTGAGTTGTATTCTTTAGAATAAGCTGGTAGTAATTATCATTTTTCCTGAGCTCCAGAAGTTGTTCTAGTGAGTTATCAAACCCGGACCCCTCTGAATTTGTCGTCAGTGGGGCAGAAATGCAGGTCATTGGGGGCCTCTGCTTGTGGCTGGTCCCTAACCTGTGGGGTGTGCATGAACTCCAGGCGGTACTCAGTGTCAGAATGGAACTGAATTGTTGAGTATCCAACAGGTGTCGAAGAATGGCAGGACTGACAGGTGTTGGAACAACATATTTGGTTGCTGGTGTTTGGAAAAGCACCACACAGTCCCTTGGCCTCCCCCAGGGCAGCCCTGTACTCCCCGTTGGCAAGATCCTATTTTCTATACTTATTAGCATAAGCCTCGCCAGCATCCCTCCAAACTTGCCAACAAAATAGGCCCTGTCTGGTGGAACTCAGAGTCCCCTATGTGGCCCCACCCTCACTTGGCCTACAGTAGACCACTTTGGAGACCTAAGCAACCATTGCCTAGGATTCCGGCTGCTGGGGGAAAGCTTGCAGCAGGCCCTATTAAAGGATGGTTTATAATTTAAGCTCCTGTAACAAGTTCAAGGGCAAGCAGAAAAGGGTAAAGTCATTACCACAATTCCACCTGCATATAAAATTGAGAGCGTATAATGAATGTATTTCCCAGGGAGGGGGCATTTTGAAGCTCAGGAGGATGGCCATTCTACCAGGTCCTAATGTTTAACTTTCTGTTTTGAGTACAGCCTCCGGCGAAATTCTAAGTTAGCATTTTGAGTGTTATTGGTGGAATGCTCCTTGATGCAGACAAAGAGGGTTTTAAAGTCATTGGACTGTACAGTTTGAGAGCACCCTTTTAAAATAGGTACTTGTTAGCCCTAGCTGGTTTGGCTCAGCGGATAGAGTGTCGGCTTGAGGACTGAAGGGTCCCAGGTTCGATTCTGGTCAAGGGCACATGCCTAGGTTGCCGGCTCGATCCCCACTGGGGGCATGCAGGAGGCGGCCGATCAATGATTCTCTCTCATCATTGATGTTTCTATCTCTCTCTCCCTCTTCCTTCCTCTCTGAAATCAACAGAAATATTAAAAATAAATAAATAAATAAAATAAAATAGGTGCTTGTTAAAACACCTGACAGCAACCTGAATGACCCAAGCCAGAGGCTTGGCTGTGTACAATGCCTGGACCTTGGGGTGGGCAGATCTGAGGACCCCCAAACAGAGCAGGGTGTGTGGAGCTGTGGAGCATCTCTGGGAAGCGCTGGAGGGCTCTGGATGTGCTGAAACCCCCCCTCCCCCAATGCCTTTTGCCAAGTTTGCTTTCGAACTTGAGAGTGCCTTTCCAGGGAAATATAACCCATATGTCTCTGATTCACTGCCGCTCCATGTGTAAAGGGAAGGGCCAGGAAGCACAGGTTGACGTCGCAGTGCGTCTTTTTTCTTAGAAGGAAGAGAGAGCTCGCTGTGCTGTGCCAACTGGAAGAAAGTACAGCCTTGCGATCCTGCATGGATTTGCAAAGCAGAGCCACAGAGAGCGGCATCCCAGGCGTGCACCTGACCCTGAGTGCGGCCAGGGCCAGGGCCGGAAGGTCCTTTCCCAGTTCTGCCGCCCACCCACTCGCTAGGGTGGTCTGTCAGATGGCAACTCCATCCAGGAAGCCAGTGGCAGTTGGGATTCAAGCTGCCTGACTGGCCTGGCGGCAGATCTGCTCAGTAAGGCCGAGTCACCATTCTGGGAAGAGGGGAGGGTTATTCACGTTCACCCTCACACAAGGGTCTCCCAGGAGAAAGCAAAAGTGCAGTCCACACACCTGGGCATGGCTCAGCTTCCAGAGGAGGCAAAGGGATGCAGAGAGTCCCAAAGAGGGTGGTGATTGCTAGCTGGCTTTGAAGTACAGTGGGGCCTTGACTTACGAGTTTAATTCGTTCTGTGACAGAGCTCGTAACTCAAATTACTCGTATGTCAAATCTTAAAGTGAACGAGTGAGACACGTGATGCTGGGCTGATGTTGTGGCGTTCACTGTGACGTTCGCTGCGCCAACTAGCAGTGGGATATCTGAAGCTGGCTTGCAACCCGAATTTTAGCTCGCAACTCAAAGCAAAAAATCGGCTGAGAGACGGCTCGTATCTCGAAAAACTCGTTAGTCGGGACACTCGTAAGTCAAGGCCCCACTGTAGTAGTTTCAGTCACACTGTCTCTCTCACCCCTGATAGATGATCCAACATTGACTCCGGAGCAGAGAGAGAGCTTTGTGTGCTGGTGGTGGAGTGAGTGTCATGGCGTCCTTCCAAAGCTCTTCTAGAAGAATAAGGCTCGGGCAACTAAGCAGCAAATCAGATTCCAATTTTTGCCCTGGGAGGCCTCACAGTTGTGCTATGCTTTCTACTGGGAATAGAGAAAAGGTGCTGACTGTCATGTATAATTTTCGATTAAAAAATGTCCTCTTTGCTCAGGAAGAGAATGAAGATAAATAGGACCAATGCAAGTCAGCCTTCAAAATAGCAAGGCAAGCACATGCAGCCTTTTCACTGACAGAGACGGGGTGACTGATGTCTCTCCCACACAGCTGAGCCACAGTCCAACTTGAATCTGGTGGCTCCGTGAGTTAAGGCAATCGTGGTGGGTTTGGGCCTACGCTCAGGGCGGGGCAAGAATCATTCCTGATGCGGAGCCAAGACGGGGGAACTGGTGACAGCTCGGGGAATAGGCAAAACCAGTTCTCACCATCACCTGTCCCCCCGCTGACTGTGATGGCCTCACAATTGCTCTCCCTGCTTCTGGCCTCCTATTATCTATTCTCAACGCAGCCACCAAGGGCTCCTTCAACATCTTAAATCAGTGCACGTCCCTCCTCTGTTTAAAACCCTCCAGTGGTTCCTGCCTCACTCGCCCTGACAATGCCGGTCATGCCCGATCCGCTGCCCTCTCCCCCTGTGATTGCCCTCATCCTGTCTCCTGAACCCCTCCCCTTGCTCACCCCCTCCTGGCTGCTCCCACTTTACAGCCTTGGCATCGGAGTATTTCTCCCTCAGATCGTCCTGTGGCTCGCCCCCTCATCTCCTTCAAATGTCCCCCAAATAGATCTACCCTGATTGATACCTCTATTTAAAGCTGTGACTTCCCCTACGCCCCATGGCCCTACCTGGATCTGTTTTCACTGGTCTTATCACCTCCTGACAAGTTACTTATGTATAATTTTGTTCACTGCCGCCTCCCCCGACTAGAGGGTAGTGAGCTCAGGAGAGGAGAGTGCTGGCTGATTGCTGTACCAGGAGCCTGGAACAGGACCTGGCACCAAGGAAGCAGCACTAACCATCCGTGGAATGAACGGGTTATTATTGTTAGTGATAGTAGCAGTACAAAATGTTACCGGCCCAAACTCAGCTCCAGGATTGGGTTATGTTACCATTTCCTCAGTGCACCGTGCTAACATGTCCGTCTCATGAAGGTGTTTAACACTTGGGTTGCGGGTGAATTTCCCGCCAAAATATAAGATGGCGCGTTAAAATGCAGGGAACCTCAAAGCAAATGAGGCATCTAGAGCCTCTCCCTGCTCCGATCCAGGCTGCCCCTGGGCAGGGAGGTACTGGGAGGTCCCTGCCGCCCATGCAGCCCGCCACCAGCCGTCCCGTCCCGCCTGCCAGCCTTACCTGCTTTGTCGATCCAGGCGCGGTACCCGTTCAGCTCCCGCTCAATCTGCTGCTGGCGCCGCAGCTTCATGAAAGCCCTCCGGTTCTCCACTCGCTCTCTCTCTTTGGCAAATTCCCTGTGGACAAGGAGGATGAGATGCACTAAATTCAGGCAGTGCCATGACTAAGAGAAAGGGTGATGTGAGGAGGAGAGAAAGCTTGAGCAGGTGCCTCTGGGCACCCCCTTTCCCCTTTCCTTGGTCCCAGCTGCATCCATGACATCCTTAAAAAGTTGTTCAGAAACTCACCTCATTCAGCCCCATGCAGGAGCCTTCCCAGATCCGGTTTATACCAATCAGCACTAACACCCTCTGCTTGCTTGCTCGGAAAGGTGTTTTCTTAGCCACATGATGAACCAGTCCTCAAAATGCCATACGTGCCGCGTCCCCAGCTACAACAGAGGCCCTTAACCCTGCAAGGGGCATGGCTACTCTTTATGCTTTTAAGTACAATAATGATTCATGTATATTGACCACTTATTAGGCCAGCCCTGTATGAAACTTTTCATACCCAGTAACTCCTTTAGTCCTCATAACCGCCCTATGAGATAAACACTATTAAAATTCTTGTCTAACAGAGAAAGAAACAAGGCTTAGAGAAGAAAGTAACTTGCTGGGATCTGAACTCTAACCAGCGTGCTGTGCCTCCTCTGGGGTCCTGTATCCTGAGGCGCTCGATAATGGCTGTCCCTGAAGACCACTGACACCGATGCGCTTAAGGGCTGCCATGCTGTTTGAAGATGGCTGGCAGCGGGTAAGTGAGGAAAGGAACATGAGAAGGGCACCCGGACTCTAGGAGGAAGACAGTAGGGAGGTGGGGTGGAGCCGAGGGGAGATGATGGGACAGAGGGAAAGCCAAGGTGAGAAGACACAGCCCACTGCCAGGGGCCCACAGCCACCCTGTGGCACAAGACAACAGAGACTAGAGCCCCATGGGCAATGGAGAAAGAAGAGGAATGAGTGCTGCCTGGCACAGGGAGATGGTTTAGTTCAATGGGGAGCAAATAGGGATCAAGAAAAATTCATGAGCTAGTGGGCCCCTCCAGAAACCACCTCCACCACTGTCCTCCACATCACCAAACCCCTCCCAGGCGAGAATGCCCCTCGCTAGAACAGCACCTCCCAGTCACGGCTCAGGCACTCCCCCACTGTCCTGGATGCTGTCAAGGGCTCCCCATCAACAAAGAGGTGCCCCTTGAAGATGAAGAGGTCCAGCACCCATCGTGGGTCCTGTCAGCTTCTCCCTCCTGTCCAGGTACTAAAACATGAGCCAGGGGCTGAGGGTCATGCTCCTGGCCCTGTGCAGGGGAGTGGGAGGGGCCTCATCCGGTCCCTCCTATAAAGATAGAGATGGATTCCTTGCCACCAACACCTTATAATGATCACAGTGAGGCTGAGGGCATGGGCATGTGGCACATACCCAGGGGAGGAGATATTCTCCTGGGCTTGGCTGCGGGTCCAGTGGGTTCTACCAAGGGTGTTGTGGGGAATGGAAAGGGAGGGGGTGAAAATGAAGAGTGCCAGGGCCAGTGAGTGACAAGGTAACAATTCAAGCCCTGGGGCACCCCCTTTCCCCACCTTCATTCAGGGGTTTCAGCATGGGGCTGGCGTGGCCACCGATCAAAGTTCTTACCTTTGGCTCTTTTTCTTCTTTGTATCCCTCCTTCCCAATTAGTGCCGACTTCCAGTTGGTTCTGTCTTCAGAAGGACACCAGATCCACCTCCCTTTTCATCCTCACCGCCTTGGTCCAGGACCCCCTCCTCTCCTGCCTGGACCATTACAGTGGCACCTACCTGGTCTCTCCACCACCTGCCTCTCTCCCCTTCATTTCCTCCATCTCACAGCGATTGGTTATCTTTCTATAACATGATCACTTCCCAACCTAAAACAATAACTATAGGGAGCAATGTGTGTGGAACACTTTTTAATTTTCAAGCACCTCTGTATATTTTCCTCATTGAATCTTCACAACCCGTCTGAGAAGAAGGCAGAACATGTATTTTCATCCTCCAGGGAAAAGCTAAACCGCTTGTTCACGTTTAAGCAACAAAGCCAGGACTAGAGCCCAGAGCTGTCTGCTCTATGAGCCGGGGCTCCTCACGCCCCGCCTATCTGCCCGGTGGCGTATCTGTATATCCCTTCTTTATCTTTCATATGGATGTGTCCTCATTTTTCAGCTATGCTCTGGGGGAATTCAGGGAGGTTTCAAACAAGACCTTGAAAAGGGGGACTTGAAGCAGGCTGTGACCAGAGGGACACAATAATCCTTGGGCATCTGGGGTGAGATCACCAACATCTCCACGTTCCAGCTCAGAAACGGAATCCAAGGAGGAGTTAAGTGGTCCTTTGAGGGGGCAAATGTCCAAGGAACCATGACCCTCAGATCTTCTAAATTCCATCTTCTCTCTGTTCTAATCCCTTCCCCTCCACACCTCCTCCTCCCGCTGCTAAATGAGGTACACACAGCTAACATGGCCTTCAGTCTTTCACAGTCTCATCTGGACCTTTCTTTCCAAGCCTCACCTTCCATCATTCCTCGCTACCCCATGCGCTCCGGCTGTCCCCCTCAGTCATGCTCCCACTGCAGCAACTTCTCTCTACTCCCGAAAAGGCAGTGCAGCCTTGTAAGGCTTGGTTCCCACTGCTTCTCTGCCTGGAACCCCTTCTTTTCTGCACCCGAGTCTGTTAAAAGCCTTCCTCAAGGCCAGGCTGAAATGTCACCTCTTCTGTTTAGTGTTCTTCTCCCCTAACCTCTCCTTAGTCTTCTGGCCTCCCCTCCCTTCTACCTTTCTTCTATGTCTTCACAGCCCATCCTACAGCCGGAGCTTTACTGTGCTGGGCTGTACAGGAGACTCTCTACTTTACTAATATGTGAGCTTTTTGTGAAAATGTTATGTCTTTCTTAACTTTGTGGTGTCCTCTGGACTAGGCTAGACCTGGCACATAGTATATGTTCAATATATATCTATATACATTTTTTAAATTAAAATATCCAGACAGACTTGGTGAGCATACTGATCACTCTGCCCTGGGTCCCAAAGGCCTAAATCAGCGGTCCTCAACTTGTAGGTCGCGGACCCCTTTGGTGTCGAACGACCCTTT